GGGGGGGACTATTTGTGTAAATTCTTAGCATAATATTAAGAAAAGAATAGGTCAGGTTGATGAGGGCATAAATTTGCACGCTGGCAACTTTTTCACAGGTCTGCAATTGCTAAAAAATCATAAGAAATTACATTCACTTACGTGAGCATTTGATGCTTGCACAGTGAACACAAATGTCATCCAGATCATCCGATGTTATTGTTGCAACCTCAGGAATAATACGGGGAGGAAATATTTTAACTAATTTCTAGGTTATACTTTCTTTTCACTTCCAGTCTCAAATTAAGGGAAATTAAGGAATAACTTCCCCCTAGACAGTTGTCATCGGCACAGGTGTCCCCAAGTAAAGCCTATTTTGTTAAAGTACATCAGGTATATATTTTTTTAATGTAGTTTTGTGTTGCATAGGGAAGGATTTGCCCCTGTCAAGTGTGCTTTCTGCATAACCACATGGTAGATTTACCCTCTTTCTTTGTTCATGACAAAACATCATGGAAAATCCAATCAGAAATTGGACACTTTTTAAGGTGACAACTGTCTAAGAGGGCAAGAGAAAAGAAATAGAGGCACCTCTGTGCATATCAGCTGTGAGACAAAAAGCAGAACATCAATTCAAAACATGTTCACCTTTACTTGGAAAGCTTGATAAGTGCATCTATTTTGAACATTTAGTAATCCTACATGGTGGTGTTTACATGCAATAAACCAATCCACTTTAGGTGGTTTAATAAATGTGAGCAACACCATGTGGGCTTACTAAGCAACCAAAATATACCCACTTGCCAAGCTTTTTAAGCTATGATACACCATAAGGTGGTTGTTCCAGCATATGGTGCAGGTGAACATCTTTTGTTATTCAGGGCTTTTTGTCTTACAGCTGATGCTTTTCAAGGCCCCTTTGCTTATTTTTTCTTGTTTACATACAGTATCACCATCTGTGGGTATTTAGTAAAAGCAGCTTTGGAAGATTGCTCTGCAGAATTTTATTTTTTTTCCATGAGAAGGACATTTTTGCTCCCCACCCCTGGAGTAAAATAGGAACAACTGTCAAAGAGGCACACTACCCTTACTCTGTAGACATTTCCTCTTCCTGTTGCACCTATGAGACAAGAACTGAAGGGAGTCTCCCCAACTAGACACAGACAACAACAAAAAATAACAGGGGTGTTAAAAGAGAACTATGGGGTAACCTTTTGTCCCATAGTTCTCTTTAGGGTCACAGAAGGACATACACTACCATCCTCCTGTGACCCAAATCTCAGTATATAGCAGGCTATTGCCTGGAGGATCAAAGAGGGGAGGAGGGCATGATCAGAAAGTGAGCGAGCGGCGGTATGTTTTTGCTCACTTCCCAATCAACAGTTTTACTGTTACAGGTCGGCTCCAACTATGGAGATGAGTGTAATTCACATTTAGAACATTATGCAAGCATAAAAATATATCAATGTTATGGCACAATAACTACCATGCAACATAAAGCCTGTTGTCTAGCTTATTACAACATACCAATGATAATATCATCCTGATGTTAAATACATAGATTTTGTCTAGTGGCTACTACAAAGAATTACGTAGAATGACTGATTGGTATAACAGCCTTAAGCCTCATCCTCCTATTCCATAGACAACTAATTCTACTCTCAAGAATGATTGAATATCCTTGTTGCTTTCGGACCATTCTTTTGTAAGCTCATATGTAAATGGTGAAATATTACAAGGTTGTACTTTCTACTGAACTCCTATTTTGTCTGCTGTCGTAGTACTGACAGGAAGCAGAAGGTCAAATACAAGGCATTGTTTCATGACAACATATACATGTTTTGTTTTACCTCTTTATTTGCTGAAACTGGTAAAATATGTTTTCATTCATTCCTGTATTTCAGGAGTCAGAGCTCATTGAGCTTCGAGAGACCATAGAGATGCTGAAGACTCAGAATGCTGCAGCACAGGCTGCAATTCAAGGAGCATTGAATGGTTCTGATCACAATTATAAAGGTATACTATACAATACAAGTAAAGTCAATTTTGAATGTAGCAGATATTTTGCTATGTTGCTACCAATCAGATTACTTCTTTAATTGAAATACTGAAGGCAACCAATGATTTAATTTCTGGTTTGATGCAAAGGATGCAACATTTTACACAATGTGTGTATAAAGGCCATGGCTGGGAATGGTGAGTCATATCTCCTTTTGCATAGAAGCTAACGTAAGATCATAAAGTTTGAAATTGCTCTCTTATTACAGCAAGAGTACACTTTATCTTTGAAATACATTTAAAACCCAGACAATTCACTCACATGTTTAAACAATTCCTTATGACTCACCAAATATAGGTCTGGAGGGTGATCTAAAAACTGTGATGTTGTAATGCACAATCCCAATCCATAACATTTACCCTTACACACAGATTGTGTTGAAAGTGATTGCATTATGATATATTTTAGGATGTAATAAATAGAAAATAGTACTTTCAGCCCTTCATATGTTGGAAAAAACAAGACTGCAAGCTGCAGGATCCAAGTTCAAAGTTATATAACAATGGACAAATACTTATAGTTATGTTTCTTTACCCATATGGTATTGCTACCACTTTTGACCCATGTTGCTGTTCAAAGGTAAGAGTTAGATATGAGAGTTGCACATGACAGTGTTGCCATTTGTAAATTGTTGGAGAGTAAACAATAAGTGATAGTAGTAGATTGTATATCATTCTCAAAGCTTTGTCATTTTTACTTTATACTGTATGAGCTTCTCTTACCTATCTACATGTCAGTGCATTTGGGAATGACATGTCTTTTATAGCTTATGGAAAAGCGCACTGACATCTAACACAGCCTTTAATTTATTACTTTTACAACTACATGGATTTTATAACTCATAGCAGAGAGGAAATCTTCTGACATCCTGTCTACATAGCAGAATGAGCAAGGAATGGAATAATATGACATGAGACTAAGTAGCGGATCTCTGATCCTTTATATGAAAAGACCAAATCCACTTAAAACTGATATTCCATGTTTGGTTGAGCATTAGTGGGTTGAACCAACCATGTTTCAAGTTACCTAGGTATATCTAGTTGCTATTTTTTTCTCAACTGAGGTAGTGTGAAAAGGTTAGCATTAATATTGAAAGATGCCAAATGCCCATTAATCTTAGCATGGCAATGGGAATACAGTTCTAACCTCTTAGTAATCAGAATGCACTTGGTGAGCCAGAGTAACATTTTATTTTGATGAACTTAACCCCTTCCCACTTGTGATCTGTAGGTAAAAATGTATCTGTATAATAATTCATGCTGAGGGAATGTTAGTCTGCCTCACCTTTGACAGGTAGCAGTTAATACTGTGTGTGGATGCTACCTTTTAAACCCAGCTGTCACTGACAGTTGCAGTCCCACTAATGAGCCAATCATTGTGATCACATAGAGGCTGTAGGCTTTGTTTATAAAATAAGCCTACAACCTGTAGATAGCATTGCAGTTGACATGGTAGCCTAAAGATGCCAATATGTCTTTGTTTAATGCTGGAATTTTTCGCCTATATTAAAAAACCCAGAGCAGGATTTTTGTTAACCCCTTCGTGATGGGAGATGTGCACTGTACGCCCCGCCACAAAGGGACCAAATGACTCGTCACGTACACTGTACGTGACAAGTTATTTGCTGCATTAGAGGGCTGGTAACCGCTGGGAATCAGTGGTTACCATTCATTGATGGATGCCTCAGTATAGAGGCATCCATTAATGAAAGGGTTAACCTTTTTCAGACACCTGATACCTTAATATCGGGTGTCTGAGAGTCAAAGCAGAGTGGGCAAACATGCCGGCAAAAGCCGGCATTCTGACAGCTCGTATAGATCTAGAGATATCTCTCTCAGATCGTATACTGGCTTTTTTTTCTTTCACTTTCAGGAATAGATACATAATGTATCTATTCCTGAAAGAAGAATGTTTCAGTTTTCTGATCGTTGTTGGAACTATCAGAAAACCTTTAGTGACAGCTGAATCCTGAACTGCTGTAGGATCAGTGTCACTAACTTATTATTGGCTGTTCTGAAGTTTGAAGCAGCCTTAAAGGAGAACTATGGGGTCAGTGTTTTTCCCCATAGTTCTCCTTAGGGTAACGGGAGGACACAAACTAGCGTCCTCCCGTTACCCTAAGCTCAGTATACCGCGAACGCTCTACAAAAAAATATAAATCCCATGGTATTCAATGGTCTCGCTCCCACCTTGGAGTATTTCCGCCTGTCCCTAACGCGCTACAAAACGGCCCACGCCTGAAAAGGTACAGGTACTATTTTGGGCTGTTTTTGTTGCGCGTTTCCATTGGGATACAGCCAAGTAGCCTTCGGGAAACGCGCGACGGTCGCGCAACTTTTTTACCGCGAATCACGTTAAAAAATCGTGCGACGGTCGCGCATATGCAATATGCCTAGGTGTGAACGAGACCTAAAAAACAATATATAATATGTGTGGGTGCACTTTGTAAGAAAGTATATTACTGACGTGGAAGAATCACACAGCAAAAATGTCAAAAGTGTGTCAGTCATTTACGAACAGAAACTAAAAACAAGCTCA